TTAGTCGTCCCCCTCCCCCTCCTCTCTCTCTCTCTCTCTTTCTCCGTCTAATTAATGCATCCGTTTAGCCCACGGCCCGATTTTCAGGTGTGACTCCGTTGCGGATTTTCAGGTGTGACTCCGTTTCCGCTTTCATTTTCGTATCCGCGCGAGCGAGCGAGCGCAATTACCGCCGCGCGCCGTCGCCGTCGCCGCTGTGGAAAATGCGGGCGTAATTAACGGAACGAAGAAACACCCGTTTTTCCACGGCGAAGAACATCGGCGCGAGAACTTGGACCGATACGACCGGCCGGTGTAATTCGATTGTCCTTTACTCCGCGCGCGCGGGCCTCTCGCATAATTATGATAATGCGGCGCGTGGTAACGCGCGGGGAAAACGCATGCACGCATGCGATCATTACGGCGGCGTAGCTACCGCGCGGAGGAAATAAAAGGAGTTTAGCTCACGATTAGCGTCGTGTCCTGTTTCAACATTAAACATTCCCGTGTCCATATTTTTACCAATATAGATTAATCGCGATTTAACTTATCTTTTATCTTTTTTAGTTTCTAAGAATTAAAAAAAGGATACGGTAATTTAAGCCGAGATTAAAATTAATAAGCATTACTAAAAATGGACATTAGATGTCACAATATATCTTTCTTATATTGGCGGTACAAATGTACCTCATTTCAACAAGATGTATTACACCTATTTTTATAATTTTTATATTTACAGTAGAAAAATTATGAAAAACCTACAGATTATTCTAGATTACATTTAAAAATGATGTAAAAAAGTTTAGTGGCGACTTAGAATCTGGATAAAAAAATTATTTAATCAACAAGTAGAAAAGTGTTTTACTTATAATGTAATCTATCTAATATGTAACTATGTAATCTGTGCATCGCAATAAAACTTTATATAAATTATCTTAAATGTACTTAAAGTACTTGTACAAAAAAAATTAAGATTTTTGTCATTATTTCTTACGTTTCTATTAAAGTATATTTTTATATTTAAATAATTTGTGATCTAGGTTCAAAATCGTCGCAATATTTTTTATATTTTTAAACGTGTAGTCTAAAATAATCTATAATTTTTTCATTGTAAAATAAAAATAAATGTAAGGTACTCTTAAATTATCTCAAACAAATGTATTCTAACAGTGATACAACTGCAGAAAAAAAACGGTATAATAAGATGCTTTTAACACTCAAGATTTCCATAAGAATGCAATAATCCCACTGAATATACACCACTGAATCATTATGAACAAACTCTTCGATCATTAAAGAGCGTGTACTAAAAGATAGAAAAAAAAACATCTGAACATTATGTAGAGTTGCATTTTATTTACTTATATCATAAACATATGTGCGTTTTCGTTGCAGCGATATTTAGCGTTTTAGCAATCCACACATGGTCATTAAGAAAAGAAAAAAGAATAAAACTTAGTCAGCAGATATAAAAAACCCCATCTTGCAATGAAATTGTTTTTACGATATATTTTATTTTACATTGCACGCTGACGACATTAAAGACTCCGAGTGCAATATTTATCTAATATTTTTTCAGCGTTATCAATCATAAGATATACATTTCATATCTTATTCTTTATGTTCAAAACCACTTTTTTAATTATTCACAATCATTTCTTTACAATTTATACATGTATCATGATTATATTTCATCTTACATTACACGCTGACGATATTAAAGACTCCGAGTGCAATATTTATCTAATGTTTTGTCAGCGTTATCAATCATAAGATACATGTACATTTTATATTTTATCCTTTACGTTTAAAAGCACTTTTTTAATTATTTACAATCATTTCTTTATAATTTATAAATATCTCATAATTATTAAGGCAAACTTTGACTTTTAATATTCTCTATTATTTTGTACAGGCATTTTTAATTACAAAAACAAAACTTTTTGCTCCTGTCACTTTTAATGAATCTGAAGAAGTCTGGACACCGCGTTAAGGAATTTATAATAAATACAAAAAATTAAAAGAACTTTTTTTATGTAAATTTTCCATTGCGATATGCTACAATAATAATAATAAACAATGATAAATATATCGTTACTTATGTTGAAACACCGAAAACGCATAAAGTTATAAATAACAAATTATCGCGATACTTAAACACACAGTAAATTATACATATACATTTTGCACTTTCGTGCAGAAATTCTGCTTATATTTTACAACTGATATCGACACAAAAAGCGTCGCGACTGTATCAGGATTAGAATAGATGCGTGGTAACAGGATCGCGAGAGACTCGAAAATCATTTCGCTTAATCTCCTGTCTTCATCTTAGTAAAGACCTCTTGTCAAATTGCAGTTATTAAGAAGCTGTTAATACAAAGTGCGATAAGAGTGCATCACGGAGAGAGCGTGACGCGGCGCTGATAAAAATGAGCTCATTAAATCGAGCTGTCTTTTTCCCTCCTGCTCGGGATACATAACGTACCGTATCGTATTTTGCGTGTTAGACTTTACAATAAGTGTTGTAACAAAGTGTTGTCGCAAAGATAAGCCGGGCGCAAGAAATCCTGGCGACAAGAAGGAGAAAATCGTTACAGGCCGAAAGCGCCTGAAAGCTCCGAGTAGCTCATGATCAACGATAAAGAAAAATCGGCGCACGGGTGGAAGAGAGAGATATGACCGGGAGGGGGACTCGATAAAGACTCGGCTGTGGCGCACCAGCAGACGTTACAGGGCAATTACAAGGTCAACGGGCCAAGGAAAACGTCGTCCAGATACTCTCGGCTCGAGGTCATCGTCTCTGCCGAGCATTAGCCGAAGAATTTTCGATCGCGCTATTCCGCCTTCGCTCCCAACGCGACCCGAAACGAGCGAAGACCAAGGACTGGTGATTCAGCAAAAAAAAAAAAAAAAAAAAAAAAGTGTCAAAAGATTCTACTACTTACGATAAAAGACTTCGTTTCATTTCGTTTTATTATTTTTTTTTTTATTTATTTTCGGAAAATGAAGTTGTGTATTATATAACGAAAGATTTTTCTATAAAAATTTTTATAAAACTAAAGTGAAGTTCATAAAGTAAAGCTACTTCAACACGTTTATAGATAACTTGAAAGAAGAGGTATGATGAAGTTTTATCCTATTTTTAAAAACACTTCAGTGGAAAACGACCTGTTTGATTTCGGAAATGTGGCAATATACATTGAAACAAAAATAAAAAAACTTGTTTTGAGACAACACCCCCCTCCTCCCTCGGCCTTTCGGGAATCATAAAAATTTAACGTAGAATAAATACGTGAGAATTTATCGGTCATAAGGCGGGATAGTTGGTCAAATATACCACGTGCGAGTTCGGGCTTGCATGCCAGCAATATATATCGAATTTAAACCTGAAGAATTTGAATATGTGCGCATTCTAAAAGTAGGAATATAGCTCAGAACGACTTGCTGACGATTGTTTGTCGCAGAATTAAATTTCAATCAAGTGGGACACGAAAATGCAAGAAACTTAATTTGCACTTTTTGCACTTTTTTCGCACGATTCCACCACGTGAGCGTGCGTCTCGCGATTAGTACCCATTGCAAAAATTGCGACAGCGCCCCATTAGTTCATACGATTCAGCCGAACAGTTTCTCCGAACAGAAATCTTACTGTTCGATAATAAGGTAAATAAACAGTCTTTTACGCAATCTCTTTACGCGGTAAGCTCGCCTATGGCGCATTAATCCTTGCCGCTAATTAGTTTTAATAATAGTTGCATTTCTCTAAACCTCTCTCGATGGTCGATTAATGGACAAAGGATTGATTAACTAATCAAGAAGAAAACGGCTGTCATTAGCAAATCCGTCGATGCTTTTAGAGTCTCAATTCGAGAAAAATTCCACAATAAAGTAATTAACCGACGGGTGAATTCGCGCAAGAATGAGGACATACATTATCGCTCGTCTCGAAAATTATTTAGAAATTAATATAGAATCATGCAAGAATCGATTTCGTTTCATCATTCCGTTGCGATTGGTGGAATACGGATAAAGGATATTAAAAGGCAAAAACATTATGATTAGCTCTCGCTCAAGCTGCAATGCCAATTTTATGGGTAATTTTCAATCGTAACTTATATTTAATCATTTTATGGGTATATCGCATTTTTTTAGTTATTATTAACATTGCTCCCACATCGTTTCCATATCGGTGCACCGATCTTATAAGCGAGGTAAAGCGGTGTACATCATAATGACTCCACCGTATGCCCTACTCCATTTAAGTATCCAACTATTCATTAAATTAAATTATTATAATTCGCTTGTTATTATCAAAATTACTATATTACAGTAAGAGCAAAATGAAGAGTGTGATTTACTAATAAAACAAAATTTATCTTGATTATAATAATTCAATGCGGATGGCAATCAATGAATGTCCCACATTTGAAGCTCCTTCGTTTGAAGCGGCTTTCAGTCCCGCTGAGTGGCATTGGTTGCTTTAATCCCGAGATGTATGGACGACCGGTATGCTAATAACTAATTAAAATGATCGGCTTACCATGAGCTTTTCCCGATCCAGATGGAGCAGATCGCTGCCTTTGATGTCCTTCGACTTGAAGACGTCCGCATAGCGGTACAGATTTAGGGCTGACATCCATTCAACTACGTTCAGAGACGTCCACTCACTGACGGGCTGCGAACAGAGAAACGAGACGTAGATCGTAGGTGGCACATCGATGGCACAAGAATCAGCGACGATTAATTGAGCCAAGTCCACTTGCGCACGAGGAAGAACGCGCGTGTACACACGTGCATATAGGTGTATGTGTATGTGTGTGTGTGTGTGTGTGTGTGTGCACTTCGAGATGTATTTACACGGCTGTGTTATTGGCTATAATCCCGCTTGGATCGTGCGAATTATAAAAGCAAAAGAAAAGAAAAAAGAAAAAAAAAAAAAAAAAAGAAATAAATTAAAGCAAAGTAGAACAAGTCAAGTGTTAGGTAAATAAGGCGATAAACGCAACGGCTGTTGTCCAATGTAATTAAAATTGTTAATTATGTATTCTTACACAAAATGTCTTACTTCAAAAGTTAATGGCACAAATGTTGCACAAGCACAAAGTTCTGATTTTCGGAAGGTCGTTCGTCATTTTGCTCCCCTGCCTTTTGATTTTCGATGTTAAATTTATTTATAATTTCACCTCACACAGATTAGTATTTTACAAAAGTAAAATTTTCATCTTAAATTATACATTTGCATACTTGTTTATCTCTCTGGAAATCATTATTATAAAATATGGGGAAAAAAAAATATGATTATCAGATGTGGTACAATCTACTTTGGACGACGGATAAAAATATGATCCGGGAGTATCATCAACAGTGAAACCGTGTAAAATCCTCTTTAATGCGCATGATTAATCGATTCTTTGCAAGCGGAAGCGGATAATGAGCTAGGCTGTCCCGTTCGCCAGTCAGTATGCACGCGCTTATTAGCCCCGAGATTTTCAAATGAGAACGCGCGGCGATTTCCGGCTTCGTCCATTGGAATGTTTGTGTTTTCATTCTCTCCTACAACAATGACATTAATTTCTTTCTAAATCACGACTCCAGACACGCTTTATAAAACCATTCGCATAGCAAATTCGGATAATAATCGCTTCTGGTTAATGCACTGAATTGGAAGGTGAAAGTCGGAATAATAATGTAGATCTCTTTAGATATACATTTCATGCCAGATATCCAATTCTTTCCTCGAGAAAAAGCAATGCATTAAATTTAATCAAATGTTTAAATGCCTATTTTTAAGATTGAGAAGCACTGCTTTTTCTACTAATTAAGAGCTGAGTTATTTATAAATAATCTAGCCTTTTAAATGATATTTTATAACATAGTATATGTTAATATATAATAAAATTGCTAATCTCGTTATTAGCAATATATAATGTCATGATTAAGATAAGTTCCCGATTCTATTAAAATGTGTTTCGCAATGTGTTTCAATTTGTTTTAGTAAGGAATTCATAGTAGCAAAGAATTCAAGTAGATTTCATAGTAATTTTCATAACTATTTTAATAATAAATATGTAAATTCTTCTTTAAAAATTCATTTAAATTATCCAGATTCGATTTGTATGTGTATTCGATTATGATTTGATTGCAATAAGTTATCTATCTCTATTATATGGCGAACTGCAAGATATCTAATTGTATTTCTTCGCATTATTAAATAATTATTTAATACTTCGGAAATTAATTAACTGTAATTGCAAAATATTGTTGCAATTTATTCTGAAAATTTCTTAAGTTCAATTGTTCGCGAAGTCTGTCTTTAATCTGTGATATTTTAAAAAATTTATATATTTGATAAATCAAAGATAAAAATTAGAAATGAAAAAGGAAGAAATATCCATTAGTTTATTAATGCAAAATCTCCGACAGTTTTAATCAAATGGAAACTTCAAATATCATCGGCGATCTTTATTTAATCGATGAGTGATTAAGTCCTCGACAAAAGCGGCGCACTATCGTGCAATTATAATAACATTTCCATTGTCGTATTAATCTTCTATTTATATTATTGTATATAATTACGATTCAATAATCATGATTCACAATTAACGTTTATTTAATGCACGTATGCATTATATCTACGCGTTTAATACTGGTCGTTACGTAATTAAAAAAAAAAAAAAAAAAACAATACAAAAAAGAAGAAGTACATTTAGCTAGAATTTTTTTTTTTATCGACCGATTCTCGCCGGACAAATGCTGTTATCCGGTGCCGATCGTCGAGGATTACGTAAAAGGAGCGTCTCCGGATTTTCTCGATCCCGAAGATAAGACGCGTTGTCGAAACGTTTAACGCACCACGCGGGCGACCAGGCCCGATTAGATAAATCGACGCGCGATCGGAGATGAGCGGCGGGACGGAAGGAGATGAGGTGATGAGGCGAAGAGAAGAGACATCTCCGTGTGCCGCCGACCACCGCCTATTGGTAGCGAGGGGATACTGATAAAGCGAAAGTGTAAAAAGCGCGGAAAAAAGAAAACGTAACCTCTCGCCGTAACCCCGAGTCCGCGATATGACGACAGTGCGCGAGATAAGTCCTCGCCTGTCGTCCTCGTCCGAATAATCCGCTCCAGCCGGCAGCGCGCGTCCGTCCGTCCGTCCGTCCGTCCGTCCGTCCGTCCGTACGATCGACGCGCTCGATTAATCTCCGTCGAGAGATCGTTTCTTTCTCGCCACCGCGCGCCACGTCTCACCGGCACTGCACGAGAATTAAATCGCCGACGTCGCGAATTTTTGCTCAACTCTCGAGCCGCTAATCTGGGATGCTCGCTACAGGGGAGAACTTATTTCGCGGAAGTCATCATCTCTGCGACGGAAATCCTGCCGTGATATGCCGAGCGGGCTGACGTTTATATCAGAACGCCTTTTCCTCGAATGGGGGAGAGGGGGAGGGGCAGGAGGGGTGGTTCTTGCAGCGATCGATGCCGCACCGATCTGAAATCGCGCGAGGGATCAACGTCACCCCAATGAGCCCAACGAATTTCTCAATGTTTCGAGGATGCGGCAAAATGCGACGAGACTGCGAATTTCGTATCGTTTACCTTGTCAAACTTCGATCGAGGATAAAATTCGAGACCCGCGCAAATATTGACCACTTTCTTTTAATATCGCCCGCTATAATGATCTCTTGTGCCGCAATTAGTGCCGTAAATACGTCAGATTTACTCCACTTAATCTGTTCAGTCATCTGTGAATCATAGCATACCGTTCTGTATCGCTATGAAAGCCCATTTGAATTTTCTTGAAATATGATAATAAAAAGATTTAAAATGCGATTTATTACTTCCCGCGTTTAGATGATTAATTTCATTTATGACTTTCACCTGCTAATTTTCATTCCGTCGATAAAATAAGATGTAATTATTTACGTAATGTACGGTTATATATAAAAAAGCTTAAAGTAGTGTTATTCGAACGTCTTTTAAGAAATCGATATCAGAATAGCAAATTTTCAATGTCGATGAATTTCCATCTCACAAACTTATTGTTTATGAGATAATTTTAAATGTCATTAATTTCATTTTTCTGCTAATGAAAAAAACGCGACATTAACTCGAATATTTTAGCTTCATTATATTATCTTTTATAAAAAAAAAAGACGACATTCGGATCCCTTATCCCTTTTTTTTTTTCACGATTTCACGGCGAACGCTACCGAATTTAGGTCGTTACGCTATCGAATTTCAAGCAGGTCTCGTCCTGATAACAACACGCCGCTTGCGCGTTTATGTAAAATTCGCGATTATAATAAATATAAAATTCACAGTCCTAGACGGGTTTCGTAGTAAAGTACCTACATAAAAATCCTATACCTATACAAATCTAGGCAATTCGAAATAAAAACAATTAATTTCTTTCTTATAATCATGATGACGAAATTGTTATTTTATTCTGGTATGTTTCAATTTTTAATTACATGCATAAAATGTAGCATAAGCTATAGTGTAATAATTATTTAAATCTAAATAAAAAAATTCATCGAGACTTGAGATTTGTGTAAAAAAATTTCATTTAGTCGAGGATAGCAAAGAATTAAATAGACAAACATATTTATCAAAAACGGAAGAAGATAAAATTTGATGCCGCGATGAAAAATTTATACTTTGCACATCACCGATTTTATGTGGAGACTGGCGCGTTGAAATTTTCTGCACTTTACAATGCATCAATCATCGTGAAACATAATTAAAGATAAATCCTTATCACCAGAAATATTATTTTCAAACTTGCGAGCTTGACATTTTCACGCGGCGTCTCGACACAAGTGAAAAACTCTTTGTTTCTGGATTTTCGTCATTAAGTGCTGTTAACTATGTACTTTGCTTTAAATATCGCTCGAGAATTCTGCGCGCTTTTGTTTCGCCAAACTGTGATAGTGCATGCTCGGGAGATAATTCTGTTGGTTTAAAAGTATCATGAAACGCTTATATACAAAAAGTACAAGTTGCAAACCGAGATCGATATGCATAAGACTCAAATTATTCTATGTCAAGAAATATTAAATATATTAATACAAAATATAGATATATTTGTAATATACTTGTTTTTTACAATAAGAATTTCTAGCAGCCTCAAATTTTTGAGAAAATATTTTTCAAAACGTAACATTATTTCGCACAATGATTAAATCATACATAATGTGTCCTAACGTGACTTGTTTTGCAAGATGTCTACTCAAGTCCGAAAAAAATTCTATGATTTTCAAGATGTTTTTAAAAATTCCAAGTAAAATAAAAATATTTTTAACTATATCTTACAAATACATTTATATTTATTGTGCAAATTCTTTAATATTTTCTATTCATAAAAATTTCTAAATAATAAAATAAAATTAAGAATGTCACTCGAGTTTCAATAATTAAATTTAAAAAATTTTTAAAGAAATTAACAAGATAGATTTTAACTAAATATTTTATATTGTATAAAATGTTTAAACTTGATTTTCAAAAGCTATAAATAAAAAATTATATCAAGTATAACTGTACTGGTTCAGCTTTCATAAAATTAATAAAATAAATATGCATCTTCGTTAAATAAAATTACATCTAACAAGAAATCGTTACTTTCAATACTAAATATTGGATTATTCATAAAATGCTCTGATGTTGAAACTGGATGAGTCCACTGTTATCGTTAAAAATTCAGTCGATAAATTCCGGAGATTATCATATAATAGAAACAATATAGTAAAACAATTTAAAAAAAAAAAAAAAAATTACATTGATCTTTAATAAAATTCCCTGAGAATCTCCTGATTTCTCGAGATACACAAAACAAATTTTCTGAAAATTTTAAGTCTCTTAAATTTTTTTAGGCATCCTGGCAGAAAAATTTTCGATAAACACAATAAGATACCAAGAGATCTAAGTATAATCCGAGTATAATTAATTCGAACGGTAATATAACGAGAAAGCACTGACTGGCTTACTGACCTTGTCCTTGTCGTGAACCTGGCCCGGTAGCGCGTGACCCTTGGTACCCCATTGGCACAGGTACTGGCCGTTGTAGTCCGAGCACACGATGTGGAAGCACGCGTGGCACTCTGCAGGACATAGAGAACCGCACATGCAGCAACATAGACTACTATTATCATCGCGCATCGTTCGTTTTGTTGCCAACCCCTCGTGGGTGGCTGCGCCCCTGCCACCCTTCGCGCGACCGATCGAGTTCGCGTCGACGCCCTCCGCCACGGCAGGCTGCTGCAGCTGCAGCTGCTGTTGCTGCTGTTGCTGCTGCTGCGCGCTACACCAACACATATATCGATGAAAGGACACCGGCCTCGCGCACACCGGTCTCGTGAAGCCGAGCTCGCTCTCGACACCGTCCGTCGACGTCACGGACGTCGTCGCGGCATCGTCGCGCGTCGACGTCAACGTACGCGATTGCAGATGCAACTGCTGCAAGGATTGCTCCTCGAGCTGTACGGCCGCAGCCACCGCCGCCACCGTTACCGCCGCTGTTCCCTCCCGATGCTGTCTCGTCGCCTGGTTATTATTATTACCGGCGGTGTACCACTTGGGCGGCACGTACGTCGCCGCCGATCTAGACGTCGTCCGTCCGACGTCATACAGCTGACCGACGACATGGTCACCGGCGTTGCCGTATGTCGCGAGGATCGACGGCGCCGTAGTCGATCCAATAGCGAGATTCTGCATCTGTCGTTGCAGTTGCATGCTCGCGGAATTGTTCAATGACGACGACGACGACGACGACGACGACGACGATGACGAAGACGACGACGAAGAGGTAATAGACGACGGCGCCGCGGCGCCGTTGGTCGCCGTCGTCGTCGCCGTCGCGGCGCCCTTGCGCAGCATGTAGTTGTCGGAATCAACGGCCAACAGTCGTGACATCGCCGTAGATTTAGCCTTGCTGTCGTCGCCGGTTCCTGGACTGATCTTCGGTGAGCCCTTCGGCTCGAGCCGGGAGGATATCGTCGTGATCTGCTTATCCAATTCATCTGTGCAGGAGCTGCCGATCGTCACCGTGCTCGTGCTCGTCGTCATTGTCATCGTCGTCGCCGTCGGCATCGATCCGGGAGCGAACAACTCCTGGATCCTGGCCTGATGGTGCACTTGCGTCGCGGCGGCCGTGGCGGCCGCAACGGATGCGCTTGTCGCACGCTTCATCGTCGCCGTGGCCGATCATCAAGTAAAAGCTCAAGCGGCAAGACAGCTAAGTCTTCCTTGGCGACGCCGACGTTCTCGCGGCTGACGCGTTGCTGCTGCTCGACCCAGGCGACGAGTCCTGCTCCTCTCGCGGGCCACCCAGGTACCCCGACATCCTTCTCGAAATCTTCGAAATTCCCCCGTCTGGTTACGCGTTCGATCGATCGCGACACTCAAACGTCGTGGACACTCGAATCTTCACAGTTGCTGGCATGATGAGTACGTGTCTCTCCGATGCGGCACGTCGCCGATGATACCGAGTTCGCTGATCCTGCGCATGGTACCTGCCGGGCCCCCCCCCCCGAAGAAAATTCTTCAAGGCCGCCGCGAATGTGGCATATTTATTCAGTCGATATCGAAGCAATATCGCTCTCTCGTAATCGAGATCTTGTTCTTTCAA